ATTTGTGCAGCCAACTAAATAGTTTCCGTTGTGCTCCTCTATTTGGATTCTTGGCCAAGTTTATGTGTTAAGTCCATCTCTTGTCGGGTTGTCTTCCTGTCCTCCCCACGTACATATGTCTACACCAAGGTGAAACTCCCTGTACTAACTAGTTGCTCAATTTTCGTTGATAGCCTGTGTATCTGCTCCCACTTCTGTGTCGTGGTGAGGTCGCCTGATACTGAGGTGTCTTCTACCTTCCTGACAAATCTTCGGCGCTCGAAGATGTATCGGATGAGTCATACTCATCACTCCCGCTTGATCTTGTACTAAGGCTCTCGTAATCATCCTCACTTGTGTCGCCGCCAGTTGTATTGGACACTCTGATGTTATCTGGATCTGGCATGATCTGTGTTTCAATATCAGAATCGCGGTTGAAGTCCCGCCCCTTGTAGGCGATCAATCCAGGAACTTGCCTCAATGCCGAGATCGCTTGAGGCTTGTCCTTGTACCTGATGTCATGCATTTTGCATAAAACCTTCAGGTTCGTGTAGTGAAGATGAAGGAGCTGCATGTCCGTCATCGGTTCGACCCCGAAATTAATGCTTCGTTTTGCCGTCGACTTCACTGCCGACACGTTGCGATTACTCTTCGTTCGTCCTCTCTTGGGGTGTGGAAGGATTACGCGTCCCAATCTGCTTTTGTTCGGTGCGCTTCTGCTTGGTATGCTTCGACTCGGAATGCTGCTGCTACCATGTACTGAAGTTGGTAGTCCAGCCATTGTCCCCACATATCCGTTCGGATGAACCGAAGACGACACGATCGGAGTGCAGGTACGAGTCGGTTCATTGATCTTCTGCAACGCGCCCTTCACAACCGCCAGATCATACTTTAGTAGCTTCAGGTTGTTGACCTCCTTTTGCACTTCCGATACCATTTTTTCTACTTTATCTTCCACCTCTGCATTCTTCTGACCGGTTGCGCTTGGACCAACTTGGTTTTGTCCCTCTTGGTTCATCTCTGTCGGCTTCAGTGCTTCATCAATGATGGACTTGAGCGCATCCGGAGTTAGCTCAGGCTTCTTTGCAGTGTCTTCCTTGTGCGGAGGAGCTGGCTGCTTTTCACTTGTCTTTCGTGTGAGTTGCTCCAGTGTCTTGATAACTTTATCCACCTCTCGACGGAGCTTAAAAATTTCTTCCTTTAGGTCCGTCGTAAACCACGCTCGATTTTCCGGTGGGGGGAAATCATTCCGTCTTTGCTCCCATAATGGTCTCAATAACCACCTTGAAGATTCTGACTCCGTCCTTCTTCTCCGTGACGATGGTGATCTTGACTTATGTCTTCTATCTCTCGGAGTTTTCGATCTCCCCCTTCTTGAGCGCTTCCTCCCTTGAGATCCGGAAGATGATGCTGAGTGTCTGCGCCGCCCCCTGTCCGACGATGATCGCGAACGCGACATCTTCCTTGAAGCTTGGGAACGTCAGGTAGGTAGTCTTCGTACTTGAAATCGATACAAAACTCCACAGCGCCGTTGATCGTCTTCAGTACACACAAGATAAGTAAAATAGAATCTCCAAAAATCGTTGAGTAATCTCCACGCTATAGTAATCTCCAACAAATCGCCACTATGATATCATGAAAGAAAAGGGTTACGAATGATGAGAGAGAGATAAAAACAGTGAATGTAAAATGGAAGAGTGACAGGTCTATATAGTGTCAATCATCGCGCGTACCGCCTGCAAGTTATAATCATCGTGCATAGAGATAAACACATGCAAATGTAGACAGAACGTGCGAGGTTTTACTTTCACAGCATACACATGCAAATGTAGACAAAACGTGCGAGGTTTTACTTTCACAACATACACGTAATGTCCATGGTATGTGACACCAGTCACGATTACCCTTCTACCTTAGTGCTCAGGTAATCATTTCAGTCATTATCCTCAATATTTATACCCTTCGTTCTTAGTCCTTCTCCGCCACTTTCCCTATCCTTGCAGTGTACTCATCATCTATCCTCACGATCTCCCGCAGTCGCTCTCTATATTGTCCTTGTCGTCGTCGATTTTCAACATGCCTTCAATCTGGAGTTATTTTCATCATATCTAATGATTCTGTGCGTGCTACTCGCGTACTCTCCTCTCTGTCAGAGTTCCGTCTTACTGTGGTACTTGATTATAACTCCACTGTTTTTTTATACTGACTTGAATCTAGCCTTGTTTGTTGTTCTGTTCTTGTTCACTTTCATAGCCGTGGATTTTCCTTCATTTCCAGGTGAGTACTTTTTCTTTATTGGTTCGTTTCCACTGCTTTAAGTCTTTCATCTGCTATCTGTTTCGTATCTTTGGAAATGTGAGCGACACTGTTATGTCGTTATATCTGCAGAAATCCCGTGATATTCTGGAGTACTTGGTCGTGTATGTTTCTTTTTCGTCCCTGAAAATTTATTTTTATTTCGTGTAAAATTATATTTTTGATTTTTGATTTTTGATTTTTCGATTTGTGATTTTAGCTTTATATTCTGAGTCGTATGAATTTCTTGACGTATTTTATACCGGACTTTCAGTTTTATATCCGTCGATTTGGTGCTTCTTGCTTTTCCAGGTACTTCTGGAATCTATTTCGGACGTCCGCGTCCTTGCAGTTTCCGATGAACGCAAGTATCGCGGTGCGGGTTATCCTCCATGGGTAATCCATGAGTCGGAGTTCATGTCCGAACAGGTCAATCACGGACGGTAGATCCGCCATCTCGTATGTGTTAGCTACCATTCGATGAAAAGTTCCGATAATCGTCAAGGTCTCGGTTCTCTCAGAACCCGCACTCCTGAAGTGACGCAATGTCCAGAGAGAGAGAGAGAGAGAGAGAGAGAGAGAGAGAGAGAGAGAGAGAGAGAGAGAGAGAGAGAGAGAGAGAGAGAGAGAGAGAGAGAAAGAGAGAGAGAGAGAGGTTGAATGGCAAAATTGAAATATGGGTCAAATTGCGGGCGCAATCTATTTCGCAGTTGGAATGATTTTTTTAAATTTATGTAACGTTTGTCCTGGAAAGATCACAACAAAATTTACGAGTACTTTAATTTTCAGGTTTTTTCACGCATTCTTCTGAGCGCGAAAACTCACTGAATTTGGAGTACTTTTTTAGTTGGCCCAGGCATGGCTGAGTGGTAAAAATGGAAAATGTGCTGAATCGGCGCGACAATTAATTCGCAGTCTAAATGATTTTTTGTAAATGTTCTATTATTATTTCTGGAAAGAACACGACCTCAACTATGGATTCTCAAAATTTCAGATTTTTGTGCATGTTCGTCTGAGCACAGAAAATCGCCAAAGTTGCCTCTTGCAAAACACTTGTTTCGTTGTGCCTGACCTTCCTGTTTTGAGAAGACGGGGCTCAACGCTTGGGCCTGAGGGCCCTTTTGCAGATCATATGCCCTCACTTCTTTTTGGGGTCCGCTTCTACCCGAGGACCGTCCAATGCCCCCACTTCTTTTTAGGGTCCACTTCCACCTGAGGACCGGTCCTTCGTTTTTCCAAAAGTCCCGGTTCTACCAGAGCTAGCTGTAGGTAGTCCACAATTTTGCCAAGGACCGGTCCCCCAAATTCTTTTGCCCCCGAAAAACCCACTTGCGTCCTGGTCGCCTGCCGCCAAAAATGCGACACCTTGACACAGACGCCGAAGCCCACTATACCGCAGCCTAAGGGCTACGAACTCATTTTATCTCCAACCCCGAACCCCGAACCCCGAACCCCGAACCTCTTGCTTATCAGTCACCGGTGCTGAGCTACAGCCTCAAATGGTCTGAACATGTGCTAAGCTTAGCTAGAGTAAGGGACTCTAGCTAACCCCATGGACGAAGAACATCAGGCAACCCCTCCTAATCTAGACCCACCATACAACAACCCTGAAATATAGCCCTTGGGTGTTGCGCAAGCAGGGTCTGTAATAATATCCTTACCTGCTGCTTCAGCCCAAGGGAGTGTGCAGATGGCCGGTGTCCTGTGCACAGGTGTTGAGTTTTGAACCCACAACCTCAGACCACAATGAGCATTTCCAAACAGTAACCACTAAGCCACGTGGCCTCTGTGTTCTGACCTGCGAATTAGCAGTCACTCTCGTATTAATTTGATTTGATTTAGTTTCATTTAATTTAATATAATTTACCTTCGTCACGAGGCAGGCCGGCACAAGAGTACCTGCCTCGCGGCCGGCTGAGGGATACAAAAAGTCTGAGCTGTGGACAAACAGAGCATGTTCTCGAGAAATGGCTAGTGGTAGATAGGCAGTGAAAGGTGACTTTGAGAGTGCACGGCAAGATTGAGGGCATACTCACATAAGGGCTTTTCGACTAAGCCGTGGACGTGATTGCGGTCAGATTCACTCAGGTCTGGCCGTAGTTGCCGTCAGATGCGGTTACAAAAGTCCTAGTGTGAGTATGGCCTGAGTGCCATCCTCTTCGCCGGGGTAGCGTCCCGATCCACGAGTTCCCGGCGGCTCCTGGCGGAATTGGATTGGCCACGGGTCGATCTCTGGCTGTGGGTCTATCCAACAAGATTTGAGGCGATGGACTCGAGCTGGCGCATTGGTCTTCGCGCAAAGTTGCGGCCTTTTCGGTGTGAAGAAACTGGGAAGCTGATTATGGATGACGACGGGAGGTGGGTAGGTGGTAGTTGGGGAAGAAGCACTAAACACCCACCACTGACTGCACAGTGGGATTTTAAACTCATGGACTCCAATTTTTTAATGTGGTGTGACCGTCGATTGCGCGCATCGACGGTCGCGGTCCGATCTTGCTGGTCAGGTCTAGTGTGTAGAACAATCCCGCGGGTAGGATTGAGAGGCTGTTGTCCGCACGGGGGGGGCCGGGGGACGGGGGAGGAGAAGATTCGCGAGGGCGGGCGTCGCGCAGGCCGGAGGATGCGCGTGGACCCCCCTGCTACGTGTTCCCTGGGCAATCGTCATCGGCTGGCTGGCTGGTTGGTGACTCCCGTGCGGAACCTGCGCTCTCGCAGCGCGCGTATGGCGGGATAGAATTGGTCGCCCGGGCTTGCGCTGGACTCCAGTTGTGCGCGCGCGCTCTCTGCCTCGTGGGGAGATCGACGTCCTTCTCGCAACTCTCAGCGAGCCGAGCGGGCTCCGTCTCTCTCGCCCGATCCGTTCCTGCTTCTCCCAGCGTCCGGCGATGGCGTCAGCGATGGCGGCCACGGCTTCGACTTGCTTTTCGTCCGTCGCCGCGCCGGCTTCTCAGTCTCAGGCGACGGTGTGCTCGCGCAGGTACCTGCGTTGCGCCGGGCTTGCGCCCTTGCGCATGTACTCCCGCAGCAGCAGCGTTAGCTCCCCTGAGACTTACTTGTTCTCCGCGCCCGCCAGGCGCGAGAAGCTGGCGCCTTGCGCGTCTCTGAACCAGCACCACCTTGAGACGGAGGAGGAATCCTCCCTCCTCTCTCCTTCTTCCCCCTCGCTGGCCGATTGGCTGGCCGACGAGCATGTGCAAGGCATGGTAGGAACGACGGTGGCGGCGACGCTCTTCGGACTGCTGGCGGAAGCTGGCTCCGCCCAAGCCGCGCAGGAGGTGATGCAGCTTGCTGCGGCTGACAACCGCGGGTTTCTTCTCCTGATCGCTGTCCTCCCGGCTCTCGGCTGGGTCGCGTTCAACATCCTAAAGCCGGCATTGAATCAGCTCGACAAGATGACCGGAGCGAAGGCTGTGATTGGAGCTTTGGGATTGGGCGCGGCGGCGGGGGGTCTTTTGTCCGCGCCTGCGGCGGCGGACGCTGCGGAGGAGTTTGCCCGCCTGGCCGAGGCCGCGGGCGGCGACTCGCGCGCAGCTGCGCTCCTTCTCCCGCTCATCCCCGCGGTTGGCTGGGTTGTGTTCAACATCCTCCGCCCCGGTCTTAACCAGCTGGACAAGATGCGCGGCTCCAAGGGAGCTCTGGTCGGCGCGCTCGGCCTGGGCGCCGCCGCCTCCTCCTTCTTGGCCGCCGCCCCCAACGCCGATGCCGCGCAGGACATGGCACAGATTGCCGCCGCCGCCGCCGCGGACAACCGCCCCCTGCTGGTCCTCTTTGTCGTCGCCCCTGCTCTTGGCTGGGTGGTGTTCAACATCCTTAAGCCGGGCCTCAATCAGCTGGACAGGATGGCCTCCGGCGGGAAGGCCGTCGTCGGCGCCGTTGGATTGGGTGCAGCAACCTCGGCCTTGTTCGCTGCACCTCAGGCGGCAGATGCCGCACAGGAGGTCGCTCAACTGGCCGCCGACAACCGTCCGGTCCTCCTCGTCTTGCCCGTCGCTGCTGCCCTCGGATGGGTGCTGTTCAACATTCTGCAGCCTGCATTGAACCAGCTGGACAAGCAATTGGGGAAAACCTCCTCCCCTTCCTCCAGAAAGAAGAAGTGAGCCTCACCCTTCGCCCGTATTCAGTCAGCCGTTCCTTCTATCAAGTCATGTCTACCAGTCAATCAGTCAGTCGGTCAGTGATTCGAGTGAGTTGTGTGAATGGAGGGGGGGGTCAGGCCGGGGAGCGGAGGGGAGGGCGGGGCGGGCGGGGGAGCGGAATGACGGGCGGGGGAAGGGAAAGCGGCGGGCAGAACGGGGACGAAAGGGAAGCGAGAAAGCGACCATGGCTCAACGGTGGGTCTCACTCCTCTCTCTGACGGCCCTAGTAAATGACAGCCTGCATGGTTTGCCGCGATCCCCCCCCGGAGATGATGCAAGCGGGGCGCACACAGGAAGGGGGAAAAAGACAAAGGAATCCATCAAAGGAGCTAACTTGGCCGACGGGAACAAGCGATTGGGCGAGCAGGAGCAGGAGCAGGAGCAGGAGCAGGAGCAGGATCAGGAGGGAGGTCGAGCGTGCTTCGCTCCGCTGAGAAGCTTTGTGATGACTGGTTGATTCCTTATGTCTCCCTCTCTTTCCTTCCTACGACCATTCGAGAAACGTTGACGGAGGCATCGAATAATGAGCAGCAGGGGGCGACTGCCACTTTTTTCGCTAAGTTGTGTGCGAGCTGAGAGGGGGTGGACGATGCAAGAAGAGGGGTACGGAGAACGCCGGGACTCACTTCTCTTGAGAGGTTCGTCAGCGGAGGGTTGATGCAAAGGTGTGACAGTGGAGGATATGGCAGGCATGACAGGGAGCGTAGACGATGAGCAACGAATGTAGAGTTGATGTGAAGTAGAGGACAGGAGAAGCCCTTCGTTAATACGGCGCCCCTTCCGCCCCCCTCCCCCTCCCCCTCCCCCTCCCCCTCTACCCGCCATCGCACTGTGAAGAGAAGAGGACCGCAGGCAAATGACAAAATGGTATCATGGTAGAAAGAGCTGGACCTCAATTTTCTGCTGATAATGGAGGAGGGGAGGAGGGGGGTGGGGGGTTCGTAAAAAGCTAGTGGTGTTGGCGGCGGTTAATCCTAGGCTTGCCTTTTCCTCTCTTCTCCAGTCCACACATTTGTTTGGTAGGACGGGAGTTGTCGTCAACACATGCGACCGCGCTGAAAGTGACTGGCTGCTTGAAGATGCAAAGCTTCTTTCCCCGCCCAAAAAATGAGAAAAAAAAGAAGCTGAGCTTCATCATCACATCCTACGCCGTTTGCCTATCCCGTTTGCACAATGTGCTTGTGCTTCAAGTTGTCCTTTTCTGTCCCTCAAGATCGTAATAACTTTCTCTTTTCGTTAAAACTTCTCTTGTTTAATATATAATAATTCATTTACTAATTTTTATTTATTTATTGCTTCTCTCTCATGCCCCCCCTCACCCGCCGTCTCTGTCTGCTCCTACACTCTCTCGTTACTTGTTGGTCGCGAACTCTCTCTCTCTCTCTCTCTCTCTCTCTCTCTCTCTCTCTCTCTCTCTCTCTCTCTCTCTCTCTCTCTCTCTCTCTCTCTCACACTCCTTTTCCTATCTTTTGCTGTCCTTGATTGCTAGAGACTCCTCAATTATCATCGGTCCATCCATGCTCCTTTTTTTTTCTTTTTTTTTTTTGAAGAAGAAAACAGCTTCAGGGTCCTATCCCCCAGGAGGTGATACGAGCAGCCTCCGGGGGGTGAGGTCCCATGTAACTAGTGGGAGCGTCAACTGGTGGAAAACGGGTCCACGGTCCCAGATTTGTACATACTTTAATAGCTGCTGCTCCTCGTAGCTGATCAACGGGTATCTCTCTCTGAATGTGGTCCCCACTCCGTCCACATTCCTTTCCACATTCCTTTCCAGGTCGTTTGTCCCACTGCTCTCAGAACGTGAAACTGTGGCCTGTTTTCCGACGCCCGGAGATTGCCAGGTCATGACACGTGGAGTTGTAGAGTGAATTTGTGGGAATATCGAGAGCACGCTTCCTCCCTTCCATCTGTTCACGATCATGGGGGTCGTAATGCTTATCCTGTACAGCGAGGCCATGGTTCCTGCTGATCAACGAGCAAAGAAGGTATTTAAGCAATTGTAGAAACAAGAGGGGGGGAAACAAAGGGACCAAAACATAGTCTTTTTTGGCCTAAACAGCACTCATCGTTCATCAGCAATTTCCAAGCACACGTCTTTTATGGCCTAAACAGCACTCATCTCGTTCATCAGCAATTTCCAAGCACACGTCTTTTATGGCCTAAACAGCACTCATCTCGTTCACGTCACCCTCTCTCTCTCTCTCTCTCTCTCTCTCTCTCTCTCTCTCTCTCTCTCTCTCTNTCTCTCTCTCTCTCTCTCTCTCTCTCTCTCTCTCTCTCTCTCTCTCTCTCTCTCTCTCTCTCTCTCTCTCTCTGTGGCGCGGTGATCGCGCCGGGATTCTCTCTCTCTCTCAGTGGCGCGGTGAGCGCGCCGAGACTCTCTCTCTCCCTCTCTCTCTCTCTCTCTCTCTCTCTCTCTCTCTCTCTCTCTCTCTCTCTCCGTCTCTGCAACCTCCTCTGCATCGTCTTTCGCTTTCTCCTCATCTTTCTCGCTATGTTCCTATTCTTCTTCTACGTTTTATGCATGTGAATCTGCCATTGTGGAAAATGAGGCATACCATGCATTTGCAAATATGTGTGTACCCCCCCCTCCTTCGAGACGGAAGGCCAGTCATTAGGCATTGACATCCGACAACGGCTGGAGATGGCTCGAATCCGTGTCTGAGGAATGGACTGCCCACACTGATGTTTCTCTTGAAAATGGAAATAAAAATAAAAATCAACAAGCATCATTAACAGCATTCTACTCGTTTACGTCACCCGCGTCTCTCTCTCTCTTTCTCAACAAACTCGAAGAGGTAAAACTCAACAAGCATCGTGAACAGCATTCTACTCGTTTACATCATCCGCCTCTCTCTCTCTCTCTTCCCCTCCTCTCTCTCTCTCACTCCTCTCTCTCTCTCCCTCCTATCTCTCTCTCCCAACAATCTCGAGGAGGTAAAGCTCAACAAGCATCGTTAAGAGCACTCTAGTCGTTTACGTCATCCTCTTCTCTCTCTCTCTCTCTCTCTCTCTCTCTCTCTCTCTCTCTCTCTCCATCCATCCAAGCTCGAGGAAGCATCGTTAACGTACGGTAATTATGCCTGCATTTGGGGCAGCTGTCAGTCTAGATACAGCGACAATGCCCGTACGTTCTATTCGAGGGAAGACTTTAGTATACTGTAGTATGCTATGGATACTATACACACAAGGGAGCAATACTGAACTAGCAATAGTCATCAATGTTTTGTTGGGCCATTATATAGTCCTAAATCTACCGATAATGTTAATTAGATCTGACGCCGGCCCGCTTCCCAGCAGGTAAAGCTCCCCACCAATGGACAGGAGCCGTCTAAGTGAGGTATAGCCCTCTAGTGGCGGTTGCTCGTATCACCCCCGCTAGTAGTCGGCTCCTCCCATATGCTTGACTTAAAAAAAAAAAAAACTGACGCCCGCTTCCAATGCCAAAGAAGGGGTTACCTTAGCAGCGACCAGACTCCCTTTGTTTTCTTTTTTTTTCAAAATTTATTTATACGTAACCAGGGTTTGTAACAATAGCCTTTAAAAAAAAACAAAAAAAACAATAGCCTGGTAAATAAAATAGGGGCTTAATGTTATTTTTAAGTGCTCAGGAAGGCGATGGCTAAGGGAAAAGGGATGCAGAACCGTGTTGTGAATGTAATGTTTTTGACATGTTGTGTTGTGTGTATGTCTTTTATTGGGTAGTGGAAGAGATGACGTGATTGAGACGAGGGCAAGGGCGCACAATTTTGGAGGTCTGTTTTGATAAATGCCCTCCGTCTGAGGCCGCCATCACCTACAGATCATTATGCAGGCAGGCGGGCGGGCGGGCGGGCAAGTTATAGTGATCATGTACTTGTCGTTGTTGTTGGGGGGGAGGGGGAGAGGGGGCGTAGGGGGAGGGAGGAAGAACCGGCCCCCGGCCCGATGGAACTGGTTTAACTCTCACCCCGTGAAACCACTGCTCCATGAGAATCGAACTAATGTGAAAGAAAGCCGCTGCCGAAAACCGCAATATGTGTGAAGTAAGAAAAGGTAAGATAAGGGGCTTCGCTCCACTAAACAAGACTCTACGTGCATCTGGACGGTTTCTCGTCCAGGTGCATTGGGACCAGTCCAACATTTTGAATGCATCCGCCCCAGAAGGAGTCCAAATGCGTGTATAGTCTGTGTAGTGGAGCGAGGCCCAAAGCCTGTTACAAATCTCCATTGCTCTTCGTGTTTCTAAAGAAGGGGGGACATTCTCAACCGGCAAGACTCGTAGGACATGCAGCGGGCACGGATGCCATAGTCATCGAAGACGAGCACAAAGGCTCAGAACCAACTCCTCCTACTCTTCTTTCTCTATCACTTTGCTTCTCTCTCCTCTCTCTCTCTCTCTCTCTCTCTCTCTCTCTCTCTCTCTCTCTCTCTCTCTCTCTNCTCTCTCTCTCTTTCTCTCTCTCTCTCTACCTCTCTCTCTCTCACACACTCTCTCTCTCTCTCTTTCTCTCTGTATATATAGATATATATATATAAGGATCCGCAATCTCTCTCTAAGGACTGAACACTCTCTCCCTCTCTCTCTATGTCTCTCTCTCTCTCTCTCTCTCTCTCTCTCTCTCTCTCTCTCTCTCTCTCTCTCTCTCTCTCTCTCTCTCTGTGCGCGCGCGCGCGTGTGTGTGTGTGTGTGTGTGCAGACGTGCTTCGGTCCATGTGATTGGCATTGAGAGTAAGAATCGTGCCTGTATTTGCGGCTGTATGCATTCCGGATGCTTCGTGCGTGCATGTATCTGTGGACGGTCGAGAAGTATAGCTGCAGCTATAGGCCGGATGGCGCAGGTGGAACTCAGCGCGCGCGTGCGCGCTCAAGTCTATGACCTGGAATCCCGTGGATCGCATTGTCAGAAACGGTGCAGTGAAGGCCCTGTTGGGCATATGATGGATGTCTGTGTAGTGGAGGGAACCCCCTCCCTCCACTACAGGGGACTCCTAGCGGTTTCAGCAAGAGGCGTTTATTTGCAGCAAGGGGAGTCTCGGACGGTCGTTTTCGGCCACCTGGCAATTCACTTCCCGGTCTCTGTCCGCTGCATGCAATGCATGTCCGCTGCATGCAATGCACGTCCGCTTCATGCAATGCCGGGGGTTTGCGGCGCTGCATGCAATGCACGTCGATTCGAATGCTCGTTTCGTTTTCTTCTGAAGATCACTTTTTCCTTTTTCCTTTTTTTTTGTTTTCGATTTCGTGAAAAACAACAAAACAACATCGCCATCTTTGGGCTCGACTCGATCATTCTCCCCCCCCCTCGGCTGTTTTCTTGCAAGTTAACCCTCCTCCTCCTCTTTTTTTTGGGTTTGTTAACCCTTCCTCCACTTCGGGAAGAGAGTGTGATCTAGGTGGGAGTGAGAGTCGTAGTAGTATCCCTCGTAGAATAGGATTAATTCTACCTAAAGTTAGTTTCCCTTCGAGGAAAGTGCATATATCCAAAACGTGGCTGTGGCTCATTCCCTTTTAGGAAACCTTGCAATGGGTTTGAAGTCTTTTCAAATTGATCTATTTAGCGGTATCCCCAAAAAAGACAGTCGAACAGTCAAATTGTTACGCGCTTTGACGCCCTCGTGGGATTCATCGTGGGATTCAGACGCCAGGCGTCTGCTCTTGGAGCCGTAAGGTTGCCAAAACAATGGTAATTGATTATTTGAATTTGTAAAAACGGCACTAGGTAGTAGAGCTGGTAGAGCACAGCCACTACTACTACTACTACTACTACTACTACTACTACTACTACTACTAGTAGTAGTAGTACTAGTAGTAGTACTACTAGGACTACTCGGTCTGGGCCTACGTTGGTTGGGTAGCTCGCCGACGGAGCAGCAGAGCAGAGGCATGGCCAACCATATCCGCGGGCCAGGCCTGTTATCGATGGCCTTAGCTTTCTTCTTCTGCTTGGGTAGCTCGTCGCCACCTTTTCAGCAAGCGTGCTCCCTCAGAGCTTGTTAGTCTCGTGTTCCTGTAGAGTAGAGCTGAGTCGAAATCAGATCAGGGAAGGCTTTTCACAACGAACCACTGCTGCAGCAAGAGGCCTTTCATCTCTGCACGGGGCCGCATTGCAGCAAAACTCTTTTCGGCAAAAAAGGGCATTTCAGCACCAGTCAGATGTCTTTCGTTTTCGGCAAGAGCCATTTCATCTCAGGACGAGGCTGCATTGCAGCAAAACTCTTTTCATCAAGAGGCCATTTCAGCAAGAGGGCATTTCAGTCACAGCCAGATGTCTTTCGTTTTCAGCAAGAGCCATTTCATTTCGGCAAGAGCCATTGGAGCAAGAGGCCTTTCATGTCAGCACGAGCCATTGCAGCACGAGGCCTTTCATTTCAGCAAGAGCCATTTCATCTCAGGCTCTCAGCAAGAGGCCAATTCAAAAAAGACGACGCATTTCGGCACGAGACGTTACAGCACAGAGGCATTGCAGTCAATGCAGTGACATGCATTTCATTTCAGCGAGAGGCAATGCCGCATGCGTCGTCTCTCTGCATTTCGGCTATTTCTCTCAGATTTCGAACCAGCTGGGGTTACCGTACCGTGAACGTCCCTTCCGATCCCGCGTCGCTGTGCCACGTGTCAACATCATCGTTCTCGTCATCAACCATCGTCTTTTTCGCCACCATAGCCATCTTCACGGTCATCGTTTTTTCTCCAATCCATCTCCATCCATCTCCATCCATCTCCATCCATCCATCATCACTGCCATCATCCTCGCCTCGCTTGTCCTCCTCGTCATTGTCGTGTATTCATGTGCTAGGTGTCATGGTCGTCAGCAACGCCTTTCCCATGACATTGTGAGCAATGGAGGTCCCCTTCCGTGACACACAAGCGAGCGACGGAAAGTCCGACCATTCTCATAAAGCTGCCTGTTTCCGTGTTAGAGCGGACACTTTATTATATCAGTTCG